GCTCCAATTACATTTAGGGCTATTTGTTACGTTTCAACGATTCAAATCGATATTCAAACTGTGCCGTTGTGTTTTGATTACTATCCACAAACATTTCACCGCAATTTAACCGCAGAGTGCGGGCTTGAAAACAATTTTGTTACCACTGTTGATATTACACGATTCCTCGAGGCTCCAATAAAATAAAAATGATGACAAACCAAAATGAGGTGGGTTAGAAGTGAGGAGTAGGAAGTGAACGGAGCACAGTGACACAGCGGCTGAAGCTTGTCGTGAGATCTTGGTGCTATTGTATCTGTCGGTGAAAACTATCTCGTCTGTACAAGTGTCTGGCGATGAAAGGCTCGTGGTGGTGAAGCAATAGGAGGTATGTTTCAGGATCTGTTCCAAACAAAACGAAACCCACGCTTGGTGAATGTGGTGGAGATGGCCGGGCTGTGATTGCCATCAACCGCATATTGGAATGGTTAGGTACTTTGACATAGTTTCAACGTGGTGAAGTTCTTTCGAGTTTTTTGTTGGAGATCGTGAATTGGAAATTATTCCAGTGGATAGCACGGGAGATTCGCGTTAGAAAATTCGGCATGATAATCGATTTTGAATGGATAGATTTAAAAATGTGGAGAGTGGTTGAGGGCTCCGCCGGTTTTGGGAACAAATTATGGTTTTTTGGTGAAATAAAGAGGAAGAAAGTTGTTGAAGGGGCTCCTCGTTGTGTTGTTCACGAGGGAAGTAATAAAGTCGAGGTGAAAAGAACTTTTTGAGAGATTTTTCAATAGATTGTTGGCGGCTGGCAATTTAGAAGTTAGATGGCATTTTGAGGTAATGGTGAGGAGACGGAGGGGGATAACAACGATGGAGCCAGGCGAGATATTTAGGGGTTAGAGAGTGGAGGATATTAAAGGTGGCGGTGATGATGTAAATTAAATTCTGGAAAATCATGAGAAATTGAAATTGACAGTAATGAAAGGAAAAAAGAGGGAACCCAAACTAAGAGCCGTTGGGCAAGGTTTGGATGGACTGGTGAAGTGACCACGAGGCAATCTGTGACATGGAAAATTTGGGCAGTACCACGGCGACAAAAGCATGCTTTGGCCGAAATCAGGCTATGTGGAACGCATGTACAGTGTTGCTGTATGATCATTAGAGGTTACTCCAACGAGAGTCATGTGTGAAACCGAAATAATGTGAATCGCAAATAATTTAAGAAAATTTTCACAAACGACGTCATGCCACGATCATGCCGAAAGATCCACCTCGAATGCTCAGACCTCCCGCTGGTCCATTTTCACCCACATTCCCGATGGCAGTTAGGATAGAATTGTCAAGATCAGGAACTGTAGGATATAAGAAACGTAGAATATTTTCCAGGATTTTTCTCGCAGCAATTTTCTACACCATACTCTACTCGTGTCCGTTATGAAAATTGTAAAATACTCAACGTATTTATTTAATCTCAAAACTTTGAGATCTCTCCATCTCCATGGGATACAAAAGAATTATGCTAATGAGAAATATGCGAGTATTATTCTCGCATAAACCCAACACGAATTAATAGTCCCTTGAAATTTTCTTTACTTCTTTGTTCCATTGCCTCATCCTCATCTGACTGCTATGTTTCGCTTTATTATTCTTGTATTTCAACTCTCAGTATTTATCTCTAATTTCCATTGAAATTCATAGGATTTTATTATTACACCTTCTGCTGCTCTTTCTTCTTCATCATCAGGGGGAGACGAATGGGATAGGAGGAGGCGGAAGGTTGAAGGTTTGAAATGGATTCAAGAATGAAAACGGAAGGGGGAAAAAAGAAAATGGTTGTCTGACATTCATCGGGTCTCACTGAGGAAACTATCGGATTTCGATGAATGCACCGACGATTTTCTTCGCTTTCTCATATCCGTCGACACGGAAAACTTTTGTTGAAAAACGAGGAAAAATGAGTGAGACGAGTTTAGCAGTAAAAGTCAGGATTTACATTAGGGAGTTTTTCACGATGCAGGGTTTCACCGCGATTTACGTTACAGAAAGAGAAAACTACTAGATGAGCGGTAAAAAAGGAGCAAGAGAGAGGAGCATAGAGGATAACAACAGAGGACGGGATTATTGAGGTTAGGGCCAAGATTTTGGCTGTGAGGAGAGGCAGAAACTAAGTTTTGGAGATAATATGGCGCGTTCAAAGCTTCTCGTGGACTTTGAGGAGTTAATCCGAGGAAAATCCATGGTTCAGAATAAACAGGGGGTAGATAAGGAAAAGAAAACATTGAGAGTGATTTTGAAATACTTTGGATTTTATTGAAGAGTTTAATGGTGCAGAAAATTATTGGAATTATTCTTTGAATGCGATCTCCGCAGATTATTGATTCTTCTGATTCTGATGGTTTCTGATCAAAAAGTTTTTTTTTCCATGAAAGGTATTTCTCAACGTCAATCAATAGTTCCCGAAAGAATACGTTTATTTAAGAATGGATGTGAGTTATTGATCATTTTCCCGGCAGGATTCGAACCTGAAACCTCTTGCACATGAATCCAGCGACCTAGCCTTACGGCACGGCGGTCAGTCAGTCTATCATGAATTAGATATGCATCATGTTCTGATATTTCGGTGAGAGATGCGTAAGTCAATTAATACTCACCATAGAGAATTTGATAAAAAAATAGTCCATTATGTTATCCGGCGATAATACTTTTCTCGCCATGTGCCATAATATTTCATGTCATTGAGCCTGAGAACTGCGTTCTAACCGAGCGCAGCGAGTTATATTTTATATCTCTGTCACCTACTGAGTTAAATTCTCTTTACTGGTATTTTACTATGTGAAAGAAAAATAAAACCACAAATTTTGAGGCAATATTTTTGATCCGTATTTGGTGGAACCACTGAGTTGTACTCATACGTTTTGCCTCTTATGTTCAACCCTTTCTTGTTTGACCTTTCGCTGTTTTAGTTTTCATGTCAACCTTCAGTTACAAAAAGTATTGATTCATTGCGATCCAGACGGAGTAGTCATCTGACAGAACGCGGGGTATAGTAAACGTGTGCTTTCGGAAGGGGCCGGTGTTAAGGTTAATATAAAAACCTTGAGGTTTTTAAATTGACATCTTTATCTTCTCAAATTATCTCCATTAATTATGGTGTAATATTAAAACTTATCTAATGTGCTCCCCTTCTAAGTCGCGTCACGCAATATTTGAATGCCCCCAAAGGTTCTTATTTCGTTCATTCTAGTATCATGGTTTTCGATTTCGGTTGTGCGTCGCTGGAAATCAGAAAGTTTTCTTCTCTGTGTGATGTATCGTTAATTCAAAAATCACACGTCACTAGCACCAGTCAATCTTTTACGTAAATGCGCTCGTCAGTATTACCATTATTTTATTCATCACCTGTCACGGATTTTATTGACTGAAGCAATCATTAGATCAAATCGTCCAATCCAAAGTGATTTTACTGCACCATAATTTATTCCCTTATTATATCAAGAGATGAGCCTAACAGAAATTGTGGTCTTCACAAATTCGAAAATATTTTCTTGACACTAGCAATTTTGATTTCTGCTATGAGATGAAGAATGAAAAATTCCGTATATATTTCAACTCTAAGTAAGAAATCTGGTATTCTTTAATTTTATATGCACGAGTGCTACAAGTCACGTCGTATCCAATTTCGCGCCTTTCCGAGGTCGTGAAATCGAGCTGGATTTTTCAAATCCCTCTCATCGATTTCACTCGGCAGCGAGGCGAGCGTTTAAATTCCAATGAGACGCCTCTCCGTTTGTGATATTTGACACAGTTCTCTTTATATCTCCGACTATTGTAATCCTTCGTCGACATTGCCTCAATCGAAAAAACGAGGGAGAATCAAATTTTTAAGATAAACTATTTCTCCTGAAATTATCTTCAGCTTTTCTGTCAAAATTTGATATTTGAATTAGGAACTCATGTCACGTCATCATAGTACAGCATATTCTGTTGTATCCGCCGGAACCCCTCAGTGAATATTTTCGTGTGTCGTCGACCCTCAACGACTCGGTCAAATGATCGATCCCCAATCGTGAACTCAAGTCTCGTCTAGGAGGTCAACCGCCACGGGCCAGTCCAATATACACACTGATAGTAACAAGTTTCCTCGAGTATATATAATAACACCCGTTGTGTATGTCACAGCGCGCGTGCCGAGAGCTTGCAACCCCTCATCACCTCCACCCTCTAGGTTAAACCCCCACCCACTCTTTCTGTCGTCGTATTCTATATTTTGCCGTCGATATTTCCACTTACAGGAGAGGAGATTCCATTCTACATGGTAGAGCGCTTCATTACATACCAGTTATATGAATTCTTGACACAATTTCAGAAGTATCTGCACCTGGATATGAACGAATACCTCAACTGAGGAATTAAATAAAAAGAAAACTCTGGGGAAATATTAAGGACAGAACGGATGAAAATTGCGCCCTTCAGATGAGTAAAAAGTAAAATTACACCGAGTGGAGGGTAATGTTTAATTTGAGATAGATCTCTACCTCTTCTCAGCCATTGTGGGTCGGTTCCCACACGGAAAGTTACGTTGAAAGCGCGATGGGAATCAGGGAGTGAAAAAAAAGGGAGGAAATTACTGGAGAAGGGAAAATGAGATGTGAGAGTTTCGGATCTGTACTGTTACTTTCTTTATTTGATGAGCGCTGGAGATACTCAACTTCTTGAGTATCCCAGGGTGAAATAATTGTTTGCAAAAGTTGATAAATTGCCACTTGATGTGTCACAGTTATGATGATGTTTGCTATCTAGATAGTTGAGGGGTAATTTTTCTTTTGTGAGTTTACATTTATCGTAATTAGTTTGGAATAATGATGGTATTATGGTTATTAAGTACGAATTGTTCGACTATTATTTGCGTATCGTTAGGAACAAAAAATGAGAATAATACGAGTATTTTTATTATTTACGATTAGTTTTTTTACAGATCTGATAATGATTCTTGACGGACTTTTGATTGATTTCAGTTGCCTGCTCCACTGTGACAGTGACAAAGTGCCAAGCGGCCTTGAAAACCCTTCAGGCGTTTTCGTTCTTCAGGCCGACTTGTCTCTGCAAAGAACCGCATGTTGATCCCGACTGCAACAGTTTCCAGAATTTCTTGTTTGATCATCCGTGCGTCTACGTTATGAAAAAAGGTAATTTTTTCATGTAAAATTGAATAGCGTTACCATTTTGAGAACTTTAACATTTTTTTCTCAGAAACTAGGTCATTTTATGAGGTTTGGCCGGCGGATTTAAAATTAGCGCGCAGAAATCTTTCTAGTGGTGACAGTCTCATCCCTGTACCAGAAAAAGCCGGAATTTTGTAGAAGCGATTATAATCACATTCGCCAGATAATGCTTTTATCGCCGTGTTACGTACGATATTTTATGTCGTTGGGCCCGAAAACCGCGATCTAACCGAGCGAAGCGAGGTTAGAATCGCGGTTTATTGGGCCTAATGACATAAACTATTTTTTTTCACTCGTATCATATCATACTATCTTGGTAAAGAGAACATTTCAGAAACGTTGGTGTGAAATTGCTTTGTTTTATGAGCACGCGTAGCAAATGATATTTTTCATAGCACTGCGTGTCGTACGTCCATTACAATATAACTTCTCATTCCTTATGTTATCTTGTCTATAGCTGCCCTCGGTGATTTTCTTTGAACTTAGAGAACATAACTTTTGGTTATTGTTACTGCGTCTTATCTACTCAGGACCAATTCCGCTTTGACTGTTTTTTTTAGATGCACTTCATTTACCTGCGCTTCAGAAAATGTTTCAATCCAGTGATTTGTATTATTATTCATAGAATCTGTCATGGGATATCATAACATTCGATGTGATCGCTCGTTGCCATATTGCATTCGAAAGTTGGGTTAATGTCGTGAATTCAAGTAGTTTCAACTTGGTGAGAAAGAAAATTGAATTTGATTAATTTTTTTCATTTATATTTCAGTGCTATCTAGGCAATCAATTGAGTACATTTTCATTGAAACAAGGAACTGAGAATTCGTATCACTCCGAAAATTTCACACCAACATTCATCCGATTAATTGATTGATTGAAACGTAAACAAGCAGGGGTTCGAGCCTATCCGACAGAAAGCACGTGACAGTTACTTTTTGCGTTATTAGTTTGGCTTTTTTTTTACAAATTCCATTGGTAGTAAACGTCCGATTTACAATATTCATTGAAGAAATTCCCAACAAATGTATTCAACAATGAAAATTCCGAAAAAATATGGGGATGGCAAAATTTTTGACAAAAAATCTTGCTTGAAAATACTTTGCTAACTTGAACGAAGTAGTTGGATATCCTTAAATTCTTTTTTTTACGGCCCTTTGAATCCCCTTTTCAGGTTTCATTTCGGCACTCTATCCAACCCTATGTATGCGGCTGTGGATTCTACGCTGTATCGCATTCGCACTCCTCTAGAACATGGGAAACCACAGGAAACCCATGCCGGTACAGGCGGTTACTCTATTAGCAATCTTCCGCTCGCCGGAGCCTCCCGTTGAAAAATTCGGTTCCACGGGGAATCGAATTCACAACCTTTCGCACACTAGACTTGAGTCTAGTCCACTCGGCCACTGACGTCGGTTATCCTTAAATTCATAGAAGAAATTTGATATTTGCTTGAATTAATTCATGATTGAAGAATAATTTAAAAACTTAACGAATTCGATAGAATTCTTATTATGATTGGGATTCTTAGGATTTTATTAAATGTGTAGGGAATTCTCATTAAAATTCGATTTGTTTTTTGCGATGATTCTATGAGAATCATTCTATTATATTTCATAGAAAAAGTCAATAGATTTTGATTTTTCTATATGAATTATCTCATGGAATTTTTTCTATAAGAACACTTGGGCATCAATTTTCTCAGTTTTTTCACTCGAATAGTAAATGCTAAACTCTTTATAGCCTCATTGAACTTACATTCTTAAATTGAGGAAGTTCTTATCGAATTACAATAAATGTTGAATGTGGTACGGAACAGCTATCATATGCCAACATTTCAGATTTTTATCGATGAAATTTACCGTATTTATGGCACATTTTCCAAAAAGGGATCATTTCTTTACGTTTTGTAATACTGTAAATCATTTCTATGGAAAATTAAAAAACGTAAAAATCTGATAAATAGAAAGTTTTCATTGGGAAGCAAAATGTGGCTGTTCAAATAAATGAGCACTGCAAATTGAAAACCAATACTCACCTGTATACATCGGTCGTTCCATCGTGTGTTTATTCATTCTTCTAAAGTAAATATGGTGATGAAGGTTTGTTCAGTAGTTATATTCACATTGAAATTGACCGCCGTTTACTTGACTCCCACGTTCACCTATTCATTTTATTGCTAGTGTTTCTATCGGTTTCCTCTATTCCATACCCATCAAACTTCATTACTCGTTTATATTGGACTTTCAGGGGAAAGAGAAATTCAATGTATAAGGGAGAAATTGCTCAAGTTTAGTGTTGGACTCGTTTTTCGATTTATGATTGAGTTTGATCTTAAAATGTCGACAGTTTTCTATAAAAGAATGAAATAGATTTCCTAAAGTATCGATTTAAAAACAATTCTGGGATGTATTACATTCAAATGTTCAACAAATGTTTTTGTAAAAAACTGCGCCAATCTCTACGGAGATATCACTAGTTTTTTCAAAATAAGCACAGAATTGTTTTCATATCATAAGAGCGTGGTTCTTCTCAATTCAACTCTTTTTTTCACAAATTTAATTAATGATTGAAGGCAAACAAATAGTACTACTCCAGATTCATTGTTTCAATCAACTTTTGATTATTTATTCAAGATTTTCACTCTTTTTAGTTTCCTTCTCCCATTCAAATTTTTCGGTGATTTTCTAAGCGGATTGTATTTTTGGGTGCGGTGGATGGATTTCCTTTCAAGAACAGTCGAACAAAATTTTCACTTGGTAGATATTTATATAAAAACATTTGTTTTGTATTTTGAAGATATAATTAAACAGAAAAGAATTACAAAAGTCTTTTCTTGTCTTGCATCATGTCTTGGATGTGTCATAATTTACACGTCAAGCGGGCGAGCGTAGGGCCATGAGACTCTCCACGTTTACCGATACTTATTTATTGAAAAATAGTTATTATTAGCTGTAATGCCCCGAGTGCTTCAAAATTGTCGAACATTTTTCGATAGCTTTGTTGCCATGAGTAGAAGTTTTGCTGATTAGAATCCCGAGCGCACAGAGCGAGGCATTTTATTGCAAAACTTATTTCGATCGTTGATATTTAGAAAAACGTGAGAAAAATTTTGTACAATTTTGGAGCACAAGAGGCATTTCATTGGATTATTTCCCCATCTGAATTTCGACCAATTTCAATTCAGTATTCGACGTTTTTGTGGATTAGAGCCATATTCATAGCAGACTTTAATTTATTTCACCAGAAAATTTTCACTCAAGGTCGCCATGCGACTGAATAAATTAAAAACATAAATAAATGATAAATTACCTGAAAATTTCTGAAATAATTTAACCCCCACTCCACCGCAAAACATCAAATACTACATTTTTAGTGGTTAACAATCAAATGAGGGAATGACCAAATTAAAACTGACGTGAAGGTGTCACGTAACCCCAAGTACTGCACTATGATTGTACGGAATTCGAATTAAGGAAATTATCTAGTTAGTAAAAAATTATGAGAAAAATAATTTTTCTTTTTAATGGATAGTTACCTCAGTTCAAGTCAACTCTCAAAATTACTAATTTTTCATTCCATATACCTTTTCTTAACGCCCTTCATCTATTCTCATCATGATGAACATTTGCATTATTTAATATCTAAATTCTCTCATAACATACTCGGAATCATTTCAAGTCTCCTCTAGCATTATTTAGTTACCCTAATTCAAATAACTTAATTCCTCAACTAGAAACAGAAACCTCTGAAATAGATTTTTCGCCATTCCCTTCACGTACTGTCTCAGTTTACGAATTTTCCCCCAGAAAGGTAAATGTAATTAAGCTCCATCTCGAGGTCTTTTATATACATCCTTCACTCTCACCTCCAGCGTATACGTTTGATCTCGAAAATTTCGCATTCCCCGACAACAACAGTAGTGTTCTTTATTTATAGTAATTTGCACCAAGTTGACCTGGGACTAATGAAACTGATCATACCAACAGAAAGTATACTGGGTGTCTCAAAATTCATCTGACATCTCGACTGCAAATTTTATTCAGTTAGCTCGGGTCTAAATCTGTTTTAGGTCCAATACTCGTCAGAATTTATTGAAGCCCGGTGGCTTGGTACAGTGGGTAAGTTCGTTGCCTCACATGCGAAAGGTTCCGAGTTCAAATCCCGGCCGGGTAGAATGGTGCGAACTAACCATTTACAGTCTTGATTATCATCGCAGCATACCCTAACCGGGTCGAAGTGATGAGAACCTGGCTAAGTGTTGATCTAGTAAATCAGATCCCAAAAATTGCAGGCCAATTTAGATCAATTTCTGGTCAGGTAGGTACGATCAGGTGATGTCTGATGAGAACCGGATCTTGTTTTGATCCAGGACCCGAGTGGAAATTCTGTTCAGGTCTCGATCAGAAACTCATCAAGTCCGATCCGAAATTCTGATCAGGCATGTTACGCCTCTGCCTTAGGTTTTTCCACTAGGGTTTCTCCGCCTTCCATCATTAGGCATTAATTAAATTTAATTTTTTGAGAGAAAAAATTAGTAACTTCCTAGCCGGGAATCGAACCCGGGACCTCCCAATGTCGCGTCGGGTGCTCTTACCATCTGAGCTACCAGGACACTTACGAATTTCACTCTCAAATTGACTCATACCCGAGTGCAAATTCTGTTCAGGTCTCGATCAGAAACTGATCAAGTCCGATCCGAAATTCTGATCAGACATGTTGTTGCCTGATCAGGTCTTGACTAAAAACTACGTTACGTGCTTGTTCCAGTTGTCATATCACTTTCTGATTAATCCTCAGACCTGACCTGATCCAGTCTTGACTTCGACGTGGTCATAATTTCCACTTGGGTATTCGTCAACAAAGCAAAAATCCATCTCAAATTACCCTCTTTTTGGAAATTCATACCTTCTTTCTCACTTCGTCTGGAGCAATGAAACTAATGGCAATCGATTGGACATTTAATGCACAATGGTCTGAAAAAAATTGTTTGTCTATCATCATGCGCGGGCGATAAAACCCGTAATGCATTCCGACGCTGCGTCAGAATCATTTGGTTCCTCAACGCGTTGTGACTCTAAAAATCAGAGTCAACGTAAAACATTCATATCTCCACTCTCATTCAATATTGAGGAATGAAATTGATTGAAATCGATTGGATATTCAATGCCATCATCCGTCCGTCTTAAATGGAAAAGGGGGTCTGATCTCTCTACCGGGAAGCAGCGTTTGATTGTCTGTCCGTTTTTCTTGACAACCCATAAACAAAGCGCCGGAGACAAAAATTTCTCTAGCTTTTTCATCTTCAAACCCCCCCTTCCCCCATCTGTAGTGCTGGCACAACGCGTTTGAGGGAAAATGCCTCTGTCGGCGTCGATATATCTCGGTCTCGCCCGGTATACGTCACGCGTCATTTTACTTCGAGACCATTTAATTTCTCCTAAATACATTGAAATAAGGTATTCTTCTTTTTTCTTCTGTGCGGTATTCGTAATTCCGAACATCGCAACCATTCTACCATGCACTGCCGACAGGTTAATACATTCTATTATATTCACTCTGTATATACTTCGCATCATAATCATTCATGTAAATATTCGTAGACTTGATGCCTTTACAATAAACATTATAAACAATATTATTTGGAGGTGAACTACTTCATTTATGTTAGTCATTGTTGTCTCTCCCAACCACCACAACCACTACACCCCCCCCCTCCCCCCCACTGGGCTACCCTGACGATATGTTGCATCCGTTTAGGGACACCCTGTGTATCATCATCATTAGTTTAGCATTATTATTGACCGTATCTATTCCATCCGTAATTGATCGAATAGATAATTGCCTGGTACATGCTATGAGAACTCTGTGAAAATGTCCCACCATACCTTTCAATGTTCAATTTATAATTCTATTTGTCGATAGATGGTAAATTGATTGCGTTTTACCCTCATTCAATTGATAATAGACGCTGGGATTTTCATGACTACATATCTGCATGTCCCAAACACCCTTGATATTTCCATCCACTCGATATCCACATGTGTATTCTCACGTAGAAACAACCGGTATGGTCACTGAATCGTGGGCATTAATTAATGAGTATGTACGGTCAGCTGAGTGGCTCATAATGATCACTGCCTCAATACTCGATGCATCACTCTTCCCCTCCTTCACCTTCGATCAGCTCGAGTGAAAATATTTCCTCTGCTTGGGTATGAATGTTTCCATTGTTCCGACGCTATTGTGTCTTTCGAATGAGAGAGCTCATTCTTTCTCTCCGTTATCCACGTTATGATGAACTTTCAGTGCCTCCGGTCTCGAGGATGAAATATTTATAGTCGGAAATACGAACGGACAGACGGTGAAATTGCATTTCATTTGACAAATTGATTTAGCCACGTTCATATTTCATGGGGTTTTGTAGTTTCTTGTGAATTCCAGTTCTTTCCTTTTTGATTTTGAGAGTGATAAATTGGAATATTAATGGATTGGTGGGATTTAAGAGAGAATTTTGTTCCGTTCGTTGGAGCATTTTTCTTCATCAGGTTTGGCGAGTGCGTGCTTAAAACAAATCAAGTTCAGCATACAATTTTGTTCATTAATACTATTAAAAGAATGTAGAAATTTCATGGATAGTTTGGTAGTCATTTTCAGGGTCGAAATTTTTAATTTCATCAACTATTTCTTTTTTTCACTGTTACTACTTTCCCCTCGTGCCGAAAAGTGCCTTTTCATCACTGAGTTCCGCTAACTGTCACCTATCGTGCTGTTTTGCGGCCGATAGATGACGATTAGCAGCCATAGATTTGATAAAGAGAAACAGCTGAGTTCAGGTTGCATTTTAACTCTCCTAGAAGCGCAACTACAGTTCGTAGACTCAATTGCGACTTTCAAGTGTTTCAAGTTAAAACTTTCAGAACTTCCCTCAAAAAAATTTTTTAAGTTGTCTTCCGAAAGTCTTAATGTGAGGCATTCAAAAGTATTAATTCGCATCTATCAGTCCCAAATTAAAATCTTCGACAGTCTGAAGTTGAAACCTTTAAAAATCTCAACTTGAAACTTTGCAAGTCTCAAATTAAGACCTTCCAAGCTCTCAACGTGAAGGTTTCAGGAGACTTAAATTGCGATCTCAAAGTTTCAAATTGTGACTTTCAAAACTCTCAACTTAAGGATTTCAGGGTTCAAATAAAGACATTTGAAAATCTCATTTTAAGGCCTTTGAAATCATAAAAGACGGTCTTATTTTTTTGAATGAATCGCTCGCTCTTTTGACTTTCAATTTCCATTACTACATTAAAATACAGAACTTACCTGCAAGTCGGGTTGATGATTAACAATATCATGTTTTATTCTTTGCAGACAAAGATCCCTATCCAATTGATGCGCTCCTGACTTGCAACCATGCCCTGAGTGTGTGTCAACGTGATAAACCTTGCTCCAAGCACCTGGAGGACTTTAAAGCGAGCTGCAAAGCACGCGATGGAAAATGCAGAGAGAGTCGGTGAGTACATTCAAAACTCCTCTAATTTGCATATATATATATACTAAACAAAAAAGAATCACTCCCAATATTCTTCTTCCGGTGCTCTTCACAGAGGAATAACATGGCTAAAACGGGTGAGATTCTTTCGAAAAAAAGCATGGGCAATATTTCGAATCGAAAATGAAAACTCGTACTCAATATTTCAAATTAAGTTTTAATTTTTTATTCGGCACTGAAAAGACGAGATGACAATATTCTAAGCACTGAATTATATTGCTGAGATTATTTCTGTTTGAAATTTGATATTCCACATTAATAGCATCAATCAAGGTAAGAGAGAAAAATAAAACCTAGCGTCGTTTAGATCAAAATCAATATATAGGATTCTAGTCCATTGTTTCCGTAAATAACCCTTTTATTCAGAAGTTATCCTTCGACGCTGACGTCTCCGGACATAACATAACGTTATTATCACCAATTTTAGGAGCATTTATACCCACCCACTGAAGATTATTATTAATGTAAATGGAATATAGAATAGTTTTCTTTTCAATGTAAACGAGGGTGAGTGGGGCAATTGGAAGGACATGAAAGGAGAAAAAATTAGTTCTAAAATGCGTTCTTCTGGGGGGAGGGAGAAGTATCAGAGAAAATTTGTCAGGGAAGAAAAGTCGGTGAATGCTCTTCACAACTGCAAGCGTAGCGTAAGCCTGCGTTGCGTCCATTGTGAAATCTCCTTATCGCTCGCCGGGGTCCGATATCAAACTGTGATGTTAGTTGCTTTCATAGTTATGATGCTGGGATACAATCCAATCTAAATACATAAATGTAGTTATTTGCCAGAATTTTCACTGACAGATTCCTTTAACTTTAAATTCAAACTCGGGATAACAACAATATTGCAGAGTTGAAAGTTCGGGATTTGTAGAAAACCTATATGCGTATATTATGCTGGAAGTTATACGGAATTGGATGGGAAAAAGTACGAGACGCGTGTAGGTGGGTGAGGGAATATTAAATATGTAAGTGGAGTGATTCGTACGTTTCCGGAAACTGTTTTACAACTTTGTTCAGATGTAGAAATGAAGAATTCAGTGGAAAATATGGACGATTTGAATTGGAGATCAAATAGACGAGGAGTTTTCCTCGACGATTGAGATGGTATAGGATTCTATTTATATTTTGTATTCATGATGAGTTGACATATGGGATCTTATGGAAGTCGCACGAAGGAAGAAAATATCAGAAGTTCTGCGATTGCGGGACATCTTCCTGAAATGCATCAGAGTAGCGCTTTTCGGTTGAAAATATCTGCGTTAAATCATGTCAAATGTCATCTTTTCACTTTTTTTTTCTATATCTATTTTTTTTCTTGTAAACCTATGACTGCAGATATCCTGGCTGTTTACCAATACTCATAGATAACTTCATAAATACCTAGCTGAAGTTCTTCGGGCGACGGCCAGTTGCAAGTGCGTAAACTGACGCCGGATTTCGATGGAAATCAAATGAATAATATCCGCGTTATTTCGATGTGAAATAAACACTATTGAATATTTTCCAAACACATTTTATTCCAGTGTGACCCGTGAATGTTTTCATCAATTTTTACCCCGTAAAATTGAATATTGATCAGTTTTGTTTGTAGGAGCGTCCGTTCGATGGATCTGTTTAAGAATTGTCATGGAACAATATTTTACTCACTGAAAATTTTATTGTGAATCAAATCGTTTTTACCTTCCGGCAATCACCACACTGTAGAAAATTGACTATATGCTGACACCAAACGATGTCCCAGAAAGTCATCACAGAGGTGAAAGGTGGATAAAAATGACACAGAACATGTACAGAGAAATGTATTTCAATGAAAAAATACTTGTTTGTGGCTGATATTTGACGATTTGTTCAGTAAAAAAAATACATCTAGAGATGCAAAAATTATCCTCCTGTAGAATTACTTGACTTGTTCAGTAATTTTTCACCGCGCTTTGGACAAAGCCCGAGTGAAAACTGAGGTTCATAAGTTTCAATGTTGATTTTTTATTTTCTCCTTCAAGCATAAATTTTCTGTTGGGGTTTTTAATTTTTACTTTTATGTTTTTCATTATTAATCGTTTTCTTTACAATCATTCACTATGACCTTTTCTCCAAAAAGTTTTAGACCCCTCAATTCATCCTACACAACGCCCCTAAAACTGAATGGTATACCATCCTTTTAACCGCCATGATTTTTTGATGAGTGTTCAAATGGTCGAAAAATGGTTGCTAGTCATCAGTGTCCATAGTCACGCGCAGCGAGACGAAAATCCATTCACACATTTCAATGCCTGAACAATGCATAGAGCAGTAAAAATATATCCGAACGAGGATAGAATTGGTCTGACAGGCCCTCTTTTCTCCATTTTCAACTTTTTATTTTTTCACGGTTCTATAACAAAAAGTTGACGGCAATTTGTATTGATGGCCAGTTTCACAGATCGTTGGAAAATGAATCGATTTTCATCGCACCGCTTTCATTCTTTCACTATCCATAAATATTCCTAGTAACCAATGTTTTTCTATTTTCATCGTGCAAAAACTGGAGTTCATTAAGTAAAGAATAAATCAAATGGACCCACTGGAGGCGTAAAAAACTTTCGACCACAAAGTTTCTCGTGAAATGTTGGAGGCCTCTCCACTCTCGCTCTGCCGAAGAGGATGCTATTCCACGTATAACTCATGCAGAACGAAGAAAAATAAATTATAAATTCCTTGGATCTAACAAACCCGCAGACGAAAACTTCAGATAAATTGCAAACACCAGATAAATTTTTATTTCAATCCGCACGTTTTTTCATGCGCACAAAAATATTCGTCGAAGTTCAACAGAGCATTATAAAAAAAAAAGCTGAACAGACAACTGATAATATTCAACAACCGCTGCTAGCGCAGGTCAATCCGTCACTATTTGTCAATTTTTTACCATTAGCAAACAAGACCGGTCATTCAATGTCTAATAATGGACTTGCAATGATTAAATTGTTTACCTAAAATCATTAATCCAGATGGTTGTTTCATTGACTAACTGAATAATGAATGGTGTCCCTATAACTGATGGGATTGTTTCATTTCGACTTTGATTAGTTTTCCGATCGTCGAATGAGTTTCATTAAAAGGCAATTGGTTATATGTATATGTATAGTCGCCAGAACTGGACAAACATTTATCGAATGTCTTTTGTAATAATTATCTTGTTGCAAAAAAAATAACAATGGAAAATCCATTGCCCGTGGTACTTAAATCACGGTATATTTCCTTTCATTTCAAGGTACTTAATTTGTCCTGGGATAAAGTACTTTGGGTTCTTAAAGTAAGAACCGTTGGGCACTAAAATCAACAACCCTGAGGTTCCTAAAACGAGTAACTGGTGGTTTTTCAATTGGCATCTTTTCCCTCCGAAATTAGCTTCGTTAATTATGGTGTGATATCACAACCTAGGCAATGACGTAATATTTGACGTAATATTTGAATGCCCATAGGTTTTTATGTTAAAAAAGCAGGGCTCTTTATTTCAGTACTACAGTTGTGGATGACTTAGTACGTTTTGGGTCTATTTTGGGTACTGAATTTCAGTGATTTTTCCACGGAAACAAAGCAACCAACGTTCTGGTACTCACACGAAAAAAAAGGAAACTGAGAAAGACCTAAGATCTCGGAACTTTTGCTTGAGACCCAGTGGTCCCTCATGGAAAAAATATATATACAGAGATATATGTCACTTATATCTGCCTATATGTCGTATACTTTCCGGCAAAAAATGCAATTTCTGAGATATATGTTGGATATATGTGTGCACATATATTTCACCACATATATCTAGAAAAAAAAAATTCTAAGAGGATTAGAATTTAGAGAGAAAAAATTTCCGCTTCACTCAGCCGGGAATCGAATCCGGGTCTCCTAGATAGGCGCCGGGCACTCTTACCGACTAAACTACCGGGAACCAGAGAAATTCACTCTCAAATTCACCTCATACACCACCTAACCTCCTTTAGGCATTAAAGAATTCTAAGAGAATTAGAGTTTAGAGAGAAAAAATATATTTTTCTATGCGGGGTAGTGCGGTCCGCGGCTGACAAAAACCGGCGTTTCTACTCGGGGAACCGACATTTTTACTAGTTTTATCCGTGAAAGTACCGGCTTCTATCAGCCAAGGGGCGCCCAACAAGTGAACCTTAAGGAAAACACCGTTTCCTTTTTTTCCATGGAGTACCATGCCTTCTAGAACCGCGAGTTTCGCCTGAATTTCGCTACGGTGATTCTAAAAACCAGAAATTGTTCTTCTCTATGTACTAAAATAGAATATCACATTTCGGTTGAATTGGACAAACATTTCCATCCGTATATTCTCTCTTCATTGAGCCATTAACACTCATTGTATCTCCATTATGTCATCCATATAATATCGCCAGTGTTTTATCTCTAAAACCATCAGTTTTTCTTCCCAACCATGTTCACCCTCACTCACCATTGATATCTGGTGTGAATTCGGCTTAGCCGCTCAGACCTTCTGCTATCCCGCACGATAAAATCCAACGTTACAGAGAAACAATCGGGTTGAACGTGAAAACTGCATCAACGCTGTGTGAATTCTCGCTAATTGTTTTCCCCTTTAACCCGTTCTATCAACTTCATGTATATCTGTATATATTTCTCTGTTGTTTCGCCGGTGACCGTTCATCCCTCACACTCTTCGTGGCCGCTTTCGTTTCGTCATTACCTCCCCCCCCCCCCNCCCCCCCCCTGCTATACGACACGGCAAACCAGTTTACCCTATATACGGCACACAAATCCCTCTTCCCTCGTGATGGACAACATAACTGTTGGCACGTTCCTCTTGCATCGGTGGCCTCACCTATCCTCTCCTCCTTGCAACACAATACGATGGTGATTAGTGGATCTACGTGAGTGATGTTCAAAATATCTTGGGGACAAATTTTTGATAAAAATATTGTCCCAATGGAACTTGTATGAATGTT